ATTTTGATTTTCGTTGAGTAAAAATGAATTCATCTGCATTCTATAAGGAAGTAAATATTCAAAAAAATGTTTTTTTTCCTATTCTCGCGCAGTCATAATATTTTTCTTAAATATTCAGCTAATTCATATTCAAATATCCAATCCATTACAATAAGTAATAAATCGATACAGTAAATAAATTGCCCTATTGCATACATTAGAAATACTTATTATCGTAATAACAGACACGTATATGTTATTCTCCCTTCGTAATTTTCAGTATATATATTTATATTTCTAATTAAGAAATCCTTTGAAAGCAGCGTCAAACAGCTGTCAAAATTATATTTTAAAATTATTATTTAGAAATGCGCTTATAATGGCTTTATATTTACGAAAGATACTTCCCGTTTACTCAGGCTCACTGTATTCAAGTCGATAGGACCAACTGATTGGAAAGATCGATTTGTTAATTCATTTCCAAGTTTCAAATCGGATGAATGGACTTGCAAATAAAATAGCACATTAAAATACGGTCACTGAACTACAGTGAGCAATGAAAATTTTAACAAAGGTTTCGTACTTTATCTTATTAAAACAAAATATCAGAATCTAATTAAATGTTTCACTTATTAGAAAAAAAAAATATAAATATTTGTGAATAAAAAGAATTTATCTTTTTTTAAAAAATAAAATTTAAAATGGAAAAAAAAATAAAAGAATTACAAATATTGCAGAAATTACATAAAATAGCGAATAAACTTATTCGGCACAAGCTCGCTAAATGTAAAACAGATTGTACAGTCAGAAAGCTCGCCTTGTCACAGAAATAACTACTGTTCATCGGGTTTAAAGGTTTATTCAGACTAACGTGCGAAGTTCAGTGAGTAACTTGTATTTTCCTTTGAAATGTATAAACTAGCCAAAAAAAAATTGAGCACTTGACAATTAGATGCAAATTTAACAAAGGGAGCACTTGACAATTAGATGCAAATTTAACAGATGGATTGAAGGAACCCTACTGCAACGTACCACTTTGTGTAAGCATTTTCGTGGATTTCCTTAAGGTATGTAAATATGAGCCCATTTTCCTTAGAAAATTCTCCATGAAATCATGCCTAGCCAACCCTCATATGTTTTGCCATATTCAACACAAAATCATTCTTAAGATGATTAATAATTAATTTTAGTTAGATGATACGAAGCTTTTCAAAAACTAGGATGCTTTCTGTAAGCAATTAGTATTAATAAGCGCTGTTCAACTGGATTGGGTTGCATTATTTGTTTATAGCAGTGCTTTTCAGCCGACTTACACGTACCCTGTATGTATTGCTCAGAGGGGGTGGAAGGAAATTCCTGAACGAAAAAACAATTAATAATGAATGTTTAATAAACAAATAATATAACTTTTCGTATCTTATGTAATTTGTCTCCATTCTGATACCATGTGCATCATTTATTTCTGATATACTGATACTGAATGAGACCTAAAAACACGTTTTTTTTAAATATATCGCCCCTTATGATTCCTGACACAGCCGTTTACTTTCCCCTTCCGTAATTAACGTCAGTCTCCTGCTCTTGACCGCTTTTGCCAAGCCACCAAGCATTGTATTGACTGATTGGTTGCTTAAGAAAAAACATGCGAAGGCCGTCTGTCTAAAAGAAACGATACTTTCGTGGAGAGCTTAAGAAAACGGATTCTAATTTCTGTTGGACACGGGAAAACCAAAAATGCACTCATATTGCATGCTAAATTAAATTATTACCTATTTGAATATGTCAATGATATACATTTGAAAGAAATTAATAGGTTTATGAATTATATTTATTACCTTCTATAAACATTATTAATAATATTTATAGAAGGTCTCAAAAAGTTGTATATGAGCACAAAAGTTCAGATTTTGAATTAAACACATTAATTTTTAGGCAAAATATATTATTAGCAGAAAACCGCCATCCGTCGCAAAAGCAATAACATTTCTTGCCTTCATGTGTTAATTTGTAAGGCATCTTTTGTTAACTAACCAATTATCATGATTTAAGCCTTTATTATACTAGTTTCCCCTTTCCATAGGATGAAAATACCCGAAAGCACTTAAACACGTCTCATTATCTTCATTATGTATGCATATTTATAAATAAATATCCTAAAGCACGGTTTTTTGTGCATTTTTTTTTTATTCTACTTTCGAATAATTCAATATTTGCACACACTTTCAGGAACTATTTATGTGCCAAATTTGAGGGTCGCCTTTACTCTTCCATTACTGCATCTACATTTGAAATTAATGTTGGTTTAAGTACCCGAAAACTAGCGAGTTAAAGTTCATTTATTACACGAGCTCTGACTTTCTGTTCAAGTTAAGCCTAAACAAAAATGTTATGTTAAACTTCTTCCGACTTTGTGATCGTTTCAGACTCAGCGATAATTTGTTATCAGTCTAGTATGGTCTGCGAGGCTGTGGCACAAGTTTCTAGATATAGCAGAACCTTACAGATAAACGAAGAATTATAATTTCAGTTCAAATCATGAACCACGACACCAAATAAAGGATACATGCCCAAACAGGAAAAATTTGAAGGTTCTTCACAGATATCCAAGATAATTATTACACATGACTCTCACTACCTAGAAGAATAAAGTTTCTTTTTAGAACTTCAAAACACTACATATTCTTATCATAATAAACTTTCGGGAGCTTAAAATACGCATTAAATGCAATTTTTATTGCTGTCATTAGTTTATGCTACGATTTCTGCACATCGTACTGTAATTTTTGATGACAACTTTTTTTATTCAAATTAATCGACTAGTTATTATTGACCTCCAGAGCTAAATAACAAAGTACAAAAGTGTACGAGATTATATTTTTAGAAAAAATATGTCCGATCTCTTTACAAAAGAGCAGATATTGATTCGTTAGAAGGACAATGGCGCGAATAGTTTTGAGACTAACTGTAAAAAACAAGTATAATGATTTGAATGGTTTGATTTATAGAGATTACGGCAAAGCACACTAGAGCTATCTGCCTAAGGGAAGGGATGCCTTCGTAAATGATTTTCTAAAAGAATCTGGCTCATATATACGTTACACATGGGGAAAAGCACAAAAACACACATGCAGCCAGACCGTCCGCCTACAGTCGAACTCAGGTCAGAACTACCAGTATTCAGCGACTTTATGCCGCTCAGCCGCTAGTGAGCAAATAAGTATAATGAGAATGGAAGGAAAAATGAGCATAATTTGAGCGATAATATTACAAAAATTATTAAAATAAATATATTAGTAATAAATTAAATTTCAACTAGATCTAATGTTAAAATATTATTCGCAAAACAATTACATCTGGAATTTAGATTTGGGAATTAAAAAAAAAAAAGAGCTTTATCTGGTAAATAAATGTATTGTATTTCTTGTATACGAATCAACAATATTAAATGTTCGATATTTAACCTAAGTTAAATTTAAAAAAAAAAAATTCTTTCAAGATTGTTTATGTATTTTCTAACTAATTTTAATGAAAATGATATAGTACTGTCTACGATTTCAAAGCGAGCAATGTACGATTTCAAAGCGAGCAATGGCAACATTGTAAGGAAAAAAACATTTTTATATCCAGCGCGCGAAACTGTATATCGTAAATTAAAATTCAAGAAAAGAATGTACAAGTTCTTATGATTTGTTTTGAATATTTTTGGCTTACTGTATGCATAGAAGGATAAATGGGCAATCATGCCCGCAAAATAACTGTTGTCAAATCAGACTATTAATATTTTAAAATATGACTTTCTAACAAATGCTGAAATTCATACTTTTACATTAGTTTGTTGTAACAAAGACCGAGAACCAATTTTCCAATTTTTTAAAATTTCATTACGGCGGCGTATACAGTGGTGTCTGCCCAAGGGAAGAATGTCCCGTGGAAGACTTTTAAGGGAAATTGGCTCACATCCCTGTTACACATAGGGAAAACCAGGAAAACGCTCAGGCATCCAGCCTGTTCGGAGGGATTAGAGTCCTGGGCCGAATCACCAGTATTCAGCGACTTTTTCCTCTAATAAGCACAATTTTACATTAATCTTCTTTTATAAGTCAATAGGGCTTTTAGTCTCGAAATACGGTTTTACTCTGACTTCACTGACTTACTTTATACGACAGTTAAAATCTGAACCTTTTCACACTTTTTATTTTATTTATTTTTAGCCCAAAGGGGCGTTAGACACAAGGGGTACTAATCTCAAAACGGCATTTTGCTTCGTTTCACTTTCTGCATTGATTCACTTTTCAAACTGTCGCCACCAAATATTATCGACCTGTACTATATTTAAAGAAACTAAATAATGGAGAATCTGCATGAATGATTTTTCACACTGTGAAAAAACAACGGTACATAGAACAATCAAATTTTGAATAACGTAGTCCTCCAACCGAACATGGGCACTTGGAAGCATGAATTTCGAATTTGGTTTATTATCTATTTCAAATTTTGTAAAACTTATTTTTAATTTCAAATTTAAAAAAATTAATTTAAAATCTTTTCAAATTTTGTAAAACGTATTTTTAATTTAAAATCTTTTTAAATTTTGTAAAACGAATTCTCGATTAACAGACTCACGATTTCAAAGCGAGCAATGGCAACATTGTAAGAAAAAAAGAAAAGATATTTAATTAATAAAGGTAACACATCAAATGTTAAACAAAAATATACCCAACTAAACAGTTGATTCTCTCTGCTGTCTTTATTTTCTTTCCATATTCGTCTACGTAATTTGGGCAGTAAAAATAGTTCTAATTTTTACGGCGATAATTCATTTTAATTTTTAATACGTCAGAGAAAAAGGAAGCCATAACAACTTATTAAGTAATTATCGTATTACGCAGTGGTACAGAACAGTTGATATCTGTTATCGTGGTAGTTTCATTTACCTTTAAACAATCCAGTGCTGATAACTTGATTTTTGAGGCCAAAGTCTTGCAAACATTTATGGTTGGCGATACATACGATCATTTCATGATTCTAATTTACGCTGATATGTCGCAAATTTTAATCTTAAGAAATGGCAGCGTGGATGCTTTATTTTGAGTTGCATTTCTACAGTATGGTTTTTCTTTAAAGTGTGTACATTTGTTTATAATCTCATATATAACGATATCTTTCATTTAGTCAAAAATAAAACTATAACTTACTACTGTAATAATGTCACGGCCAAAAGCTTCAAGTGACCCTGAAGTAAGTTTCCGATTCTTTCAAAATTGTATTGCTTATTTAAGTGAGGATTGCTCAGTAAAAATATTTTGCTTTATTGATTTAAAGAATGAAATTCTAAATTAATCTAATGATGCCAAATATCCTCTTGGTTTATGTAGAAAACTTATTTTATTTCGCTCTGTATAAATCGAGTATTAAATAGATTATTATTTCTAAGAATTTAAATTAGATTCTGTTCCTATTATAAATATGAAGTTTCTCAAAAATAATTAAAATATTTATTACCTTTTACCTAAATAATTTAAGAAAACTGAATAAGAAACCTGATTTTAGAAAGTAGTATTAAACATAGTAGTTTATCTGTTTAGTTTTGTAGTTTATTGATTGGAATTAAATTGGAGTAATTTATTGAAAAACTTTATTGAAGAAATTATTTCCGGAGAAACTGATAATAAACCATTTAATGCATTGATGAACTCAATTAAAGTGTCGTAAAGCAGAATAATGTATATTAACGTTCGTTTTTTTTTTTTTTTTTTCAGTTCGAAATACTTTTGTATCTGATTTCAAAAGAATTTTAAAAGCTAAAACCTATTGCGAAAAATTATAGTTTTCAAACACCATAGGTTTTCAAACACCATTACATACATGGGTAAATAATATAAAGTGGTTTCACAAATACCAAATTTATAAACGGTTTGGTTTCGTTAATTATGGCAAAGCACACTAGGGCTATCTGCCTAATAGGAGTGCTTTCGTGGAGGACTTTTCTAAGGGAAACTCACTTTTACGTTATACATGGAAAAACTATGAAAACGCTCATGCAGCCAGCCTGTTCACCTAGATTCGAACCCATGTTGGAAATACAAGTGTTCAGTGATTTTACCGCTTAGCCTCTGGTGGGTACATTTATATACGGAAATTATTACGTTTTATAAAATTTAAATAACAATATTTACCATGGTAATATAAATCTCAGCTGTAATAACTACTGCCCCACAAATTTTGACAGTTTGATAAAAATGCATGAAATTCCATTCCAGTATTAGTCCAAAGAGACAATTTGCCCAGAAAGACTATTAATTTCTTTTTTGGCATTTTGCATCGATTCACGATAAGCGTTCTTGTACTTTTCAAATTGTTGCAACAAAATATTATTGCCCTGTATTATATTTGAAGAAATTAAATAATGAAGAATCTCCATAAATGCATGTATGTTTCTCGCATTGTGATAAAACAACAGTACCTAAAGCCATCAAAATTTGAGTAACGTAATTTTCTTTCGAATATGGGCATGTGGAAGTCCTAATTAGAAAATATATATATATATATATAATATAATCTTCAGCTCGCGAGACTGTGTATGGAAAAGTCTAAAGATATGCTTATTGCTGTTGAACTAAATTTTATGGTTTAACTGCGAAGAACATGATATTTAAGAAATAAAAGTAACACACAAAATGGTAAGGTAAAATCCTAGTATACGGTGCAGCCTTGGCGCGATTTTGAAAATTATCGCCAACACCAAAAATGATCCAAAGAACGTCTATATATATACTATGTGTGTATATACACTATATACATAGTATATACTATGTATAACTCTATATATTCTTTGAATGATCCGTTTACTACTCATCGTATATGTCGCGTTTTTACTGCTCATCATAAAGTCGCCAAAAGTAGCCAAATCCCGTGTGCACCGGATACTAGGATTAAACCAATGGTATAAAAACGCCCCTTTGGACGTAATTTAAAATCTGAAACCTTTCAATTTTTTTTTTTTTTTTTTTTTTTTTTTTTTTTTTTTTTTTAAAGAATTATTTTGTTTTTTAAGAACAAAGTGATAAAATTTGTTTAGATGTTGCAAATAGGTTAGAAATAATTATCGTCTTTTCCAAATCGTGCTGTCCGGTATAGTGGTAGAAAATAAAAGGTAGTTTGTATAAGCTATTTTTAGATGTTTTTAAGCAAAATATTTTCTGTAGCCTGTTTTGCTTTGCTTTCGATGCCGTCAGTGGCGGAGTGGATAAGATCGCTGAATTTCCATTATCTCATTTTTTATTCGGTTTCCGATAACTGCAGGGCCCACCAGCGGCCGAGCGGTAAAGACGCTGAACACTGGTAGTTCGGTCCGAGGTTTGAATCCCGCGAACGGGCTGGCTGCATGGGCGTTTTCGTGGTTTTCCCCATGTGTAACGTGTATACGAGCCAGTTTCCCTTAGAAAGTCCTCCACGAAGGCATCCCTCCCTTTAAGCAGATAGCCCTCGTGTGCTTTGCCATAATTGAATAACCCAACCCGATAACTGCAGGCCTGCTGCTTATGGTCAAGCTTACTGTAAATATAAGACGATTTCCCTCGAGAGTCCTCAATATATTTTTTGTATGACAGACAGTCCACTAGTGCTTTGCCATGGAGAAGTAAACCTACGCTGCGATATTTCGTTGCCGTTGACAGTATAGTTACTTTATGTAACTTGAATACCTTTACTATATTGTATACATAATTATTATTTTTGAACACTATTTTCAAGTGCGTTATAGGCTTTAATATATTAAAATCGAACATGAATTTTTATTTTTGTCTTTAAACCTTGCATAAAGTGGATAGCATGTCTAGTTCCATATTCAACATGCATGGCAAAGTTTTCAGAACTTACAGAAGCACCAAGCAGCAAAATTTAGGAAAGGCAAAGTGTTTAGAATTTAGGCAGTCACCGGATCAGAATTTAATATCCGCAAAAATAGCACCATGCGACAAAATGCTGGCCCAAGTCATGGGCTTCCTTGGAACCTTCTTCCACATAAATAAAGTTTTGATTAGAAATTTCCAGTTGCTAATTTTAATATTATTAAAATTAATAATTGGGAAACTTAAACTAAAACTTAAGTACTAGCAAACTCTAAATACTTTAATATTAGTAAAATCATTATTAAAGCAATTCAGTTATCGATTGTCTTTAGGTAGATAGGCCTTGCGTGCTTTGCCCCAAGATAAATAATGTACTCCGATTATCCAAGCTTGGGATTTCCTCTGTTTCTAAATTAATAATTAATATAAATAATTCTATCGTAATGAGCATATTAACGAAGCATGGCCGTTCTCTCTGTAAGTAGCACATTTGTGTCCCATCTAGCACATTTGTGTCATTTTAAGTTTAAAATGGTGAGGAATACAGTTCTGAATCCCATATTCATATTCATTTACAGAAAAAAAGGAGTTAAAAAGTAAAAGCTAATCCAAAACAAATGTACCTATGAACAGAGCTTATTGCAGGAATATTAAAAGCGTCACCTAAAATTACCAGAATTGTCCTACACTAGCAAATACCAATACAAAATTAAAAGAACCTGATTTTTTTTCCCCACTGTAATCAATTTATTTTAGACGGAGGCAGCCATGCATTTAATCATGGCTGCATTGAAAATGATCTAAAAGGGTAAGAAAAGTAATTATAAAAAAATAAATAAATAAAATCTGAAAGGTTTTAGATTTTAAATTACGTACAAAGGAGCGTTTTTTTTAGCGTTTTGTGTGTTACCTTTATTTATTAAATATCATGTTCTTTGCCCTTAAACCATAAAATTCAGTTCAGTAGCAATGTCGCAAAATAAAATAATTTTAAAATGAGCCTATTTTTATGAGCCTTCCGCATGCCGATATTCGTAGGAGGATTACGTCATTCAAAATTCGTGTCTCTATGTACCGTTGTTTTATCACAATGCAAGAAATAGACATACATTTATGCAGATTTTTCATTAATTTCTTCAGATATAATCCAAGACTAACATTTGGTGGCAACAGTTTGAAAAGTGAAACGGACATTTATAGTGATTCAACGCAAAATCTCGAAACGAAAACAATAGTCCTTCAGGGACAAAGCCCCTTTGGACTAAAAAATCTGAAAGCTTTCAAATTTCATATTACGCCCAAAGGTGCGTTTTGTGTGTTACCTTTATTTATTAAATATCATGTTCTTCGCACTTTAACCATAAAATTCAATCCGACAGCAATATCGCAAATTATTTAAAAGAACATAATATTAGAATTTTCGATACACAGTCTCGCGTACTAGAAATTTTTTTTTTTTTTTTTTTTTTTCTTTTTTCCCTGTACAGTGTTGCCATTTCTCGCTTTGAAAAACTCATAAATGCTCTACAAAACATGAAATAGATAATAAAACAAATTATAAATTTGGACTTCCAGATGCCTATATTCGGTTGAAGACGTACGTTATTCAAAATTTGAATGCTTGAAAATAATTCATGAAACTACCTGTTATTTTAAAAGTCTCTAGAGAAATTCTTCTAACATCAGACAAAGGGTTTTTGAATAATTTCAATAAAAAATAGTTTTCCCTTATTTTTTATATTATAAACAACAGAAAATACGTTTTTCATATACAAATATATCGTAGAAAACAAGGCGACTAAATACCATATTTATTCGATTCTAAGATAATCTTTTTCCCTATAAATATCACTAAAAACTTTGCAATATGAGTCTGTAATGTGTCTTAAATCATACATTTTTCTAAATTACTAATTATTCCAAAGTTAAATTTCCGAAATGACTAATTTAAATTTAAATGATTATATTATTACTATTAACAAGTTTCAAATATTTGCCTGTTGTGTTTGAGCTCTTTATTTCCTTTATTTTTTTTTAGAATCAGTGTTTTATTCCGTAAGCTGTACCAAAATTAAAAAGCGCGTTTTTTAATTGATGTCGCCTTAGATGGAATAAGTGCTATATATTTATAGTATACCTTGTATATACATGTAATGCTAAGCGGATAAATACATATAACTCAACTAAAACTTGCGTTTTAAAAGCAAAAAAAAATTTTATACAAATTTTTTATTTGAAATTTACATATTTTAGAAAATTAGAATTTTTTTTCTATTAAGAACATAATACTGCATTTAGATTTAAATTCATTAACTTCTTGTTAAACTTTATTTAAGCTGTTATTTATAACCACATAAATTATTTTTTACAACAGGACTTTTCTAATTT